TTACCTAGCTTCGGGAAGGTATTGAGAACCCATTAAGAATATTGACAGACGAGGAGATCGAAGAAGAAACGAATTTCATTTTAAAAATTGCAAATTTCCAATCTTATTCAAACTCACATTCTTCTGTGAGATTCCAAGCTCTTGTCGACGCAACGACAAAAGTACTTAAACACCTTTCTCAAAACTTTATGGAAGTGCCGTACATCTACTATCAACGTAGGGATGATGTTGCTACTATAAATCTGAAAAATACGGGAATTCCACCCAGTGATATTCTTACTCTGGATGACCTTTGGACAATTTATGACCTCGATATCAAGTATCGAGCGTTTTTGGAAGGCCGTGAAAAACTGCAGGCGTTTGTTCAAAAGATGGATATTCATAACGACTACACCGATAAGTTGTTGTCTGAGACTGAGTCGATTGAAGAGTTGAATGATATTAGAGAATATTTGAATCTTATTCAGTACTCGAAAATCTCGTCTACTCTTGAAAAGAACAAAAAACGCCGTGTGCCAGAATATCAGCGCCTTAAACAATATAATTTTCATGCCCTTGCTGAGGTATGTAATGTAGCGTGAAAAATAGGTCAATTTCGGTTGTTTTGCTATCTTTTAAAATTCTTCCTTTGATATAGAAATTCGGTATAGATAGACAAGCAGTCTGCAAAACCTTTTCCTTGACTGATAAACTATACTATCCGAATGACCAGTCATATGGTGTGAATTTAGCTGCCGAGGAGTTTCTAAAAGCTTTTAATATACAAGTGAACTTAGAAACTATTGATCAACAAAGAAATCGTGTACTTGAAGGTAAGAAATGATTCCTCATCAATTTTTTATTTTTACGATTGTTATAGCATTATATTGATTAACCTGATATTCTTGCAGACGCAAAACGTATTGTTGCATACGAAATCGCGTTTGATCCTCATGTCAGAAAAGTTGCACGTAAATGGATACTCAAAAAGGGGATTATTCAAGTCAAACCAACCCCGAGAGGCAATAAAAAAATTACCCCAGATCATGAGTACTATGCATGTTAAAATCATAATTATTTTTCTTTATTCTAAAGCTCTTATTAGGGGTTATTCAATTCTAACTGTATTTGTTACTGCTATAAACTTTTAGGCGTTCAAATTCCTTAATAAGCCAGTTCATAAGTTCATTGAACAAAAGAATGGTCAATTCCTCCAAATCCTTCAATCCGAAAAAGAAGGTCTTACTAAAGTTTCGATTTCTTATGAAGAGTCTGACATCAAGGACAAAAAAGGAATCGACCCGACAGAAGATCTATTCAATGCACTATGTCAAAAACTGAGTAGTGATAATATGAGCGCTATCGCAGACGATTGGAACAACCATCGGAAAGACATCGCACGAATTATTTTTGAGGAGTTCTTGCTCAAATTTTGTGAAATGTATTTACGATCTAAATTACAGAGTGAAGCTGAGGATTGTATTGCTGTTCAATGCACGAAATCTTTGGAAAAGGTATCTATATTTCACTTCTTAATTTTCAATCAATAATTATTTAATTATTTTAACTTTTTCTACTTTGACATGATTATACCAAATAATTTTTTATATATATTCATATCGATAGAGAATTAATGTGCTTCCGTTTCGACCCGAAACCATGGACCATGATGAAAACGTCCCTCGTGTGTTAGCGCTCTCGTTTGGATTCGGCAACAGAGATGATCTAGTCGAAGGCGTTCTCGTAGACAATAATTGTCAAGCAGAGGAAGTATTCAAATTTAGCCAGAACTTTAAAGACAGCCATTCGGAACGAGAGGCTTTCGCTCGACTACTTGAGAGCAAAAATCGTCCAGACGTGATTGCCATCTCGGGATACAGCTCAAATACGAGGCGCCTACTAGAACAAATCAAAGAACTTGTGAAATACTGTCGAAAAGATGATGAGATATACGTAACGGTCGCCAATGACGAAGTTGCGGCCATTGCTAGAGGGTCAAGATATTATGCACATGAGTCTGCGATTAAAGGTTACTCGTCGTTGCAGTCGTATTGTGTGTCCTTAGCAAGGCGGCTGCAAAGTCCTATTCATGAATATATTGCGCTTGAGAGTAATTTGTCAAAGATAAGACACCATCCTTTAAAGGATTTGGCAAGTTTCTCGATTATTTTTTCTTATAACATGATAATATCTTTTTTGATAACAGATTTATTAATTAATAGGTTCCTAAAGAGAAATTGAATCGTGCCTTAGAGCGCGCATTTATAAATGTCGTAAACATGAATGGTGTTGATATTCTTGAAGCCGTCAACGATTCATACAAAGCGCAAACATTACAATATGTTTGTGGATTGGGTCCACGCAAAGCGCAAGATATGTTGAATCAAATGCGTGAACGTTATAAAGAGTATAAAGAGGTATATTGAAAAATATTTGACTTTTATTTCGTTTACTTCGCATTCATTGTTTTTTATCATATATAAATAAATATTTTAGGACACTGAGATACGGACAAGACTTGAATTATCCCATTTAATGACAGAAAATGTAT